CCTTTACTCAACATTTTGATGAAAGATTCTATAGAAGAATCTTGATCAAAAGGGGGGAAATGCAGAACAGAGTTTCAAACTCTCAAAGACTTCAGACTTTCTGGAGCCATGGAGGCTGGATGAACCAGTGAAACTACTGCCCTGAGATAATCTTTAAATCTTAAAACAAAAATATCCCCTGAAGTTTTCTTAAAACCAAATAATAGTTTAGCTTAACTAGTAAAAAAAAGTCTGCTTTGAACATTCTGCTCTTTTATGAACTATCTATATGGGATCACACTGACAACAGCAACTCAAAAGATTAGATAGGAACCTTAGGGGGCAGTGAGTTAATGGAGCAAAAACTCAGAGAAGGAGGGGGAGAATGGCTGCACAACCTGAAGAACGTGTAGAAACTAATGAATTGGTCTATATTGTGCTACCTACATTCTGAACAACAATAAAATAAGTAAAATTTAAAAAAAAAAACTGTTAGAGTGCTACAGGTGTTTGTCTGTAAGAAATGTCTACTGTGAAAATAATTCCAAGTGGGGGCAAACTGAATAAACCTTGTGTTTGCCCAGCATCTAGCACAGGTCAAAGAAATAATCGGTTGCCTTCTGCACAGGCCAATACCTGAGCCACTGCTGGCCTTCAAGCTTGCCTGCTGAGCACCACCATCTACATGGGGAACCCTTCTGCTCCATGCATCTCATCATTAGTCCATCCAAACAAAAGTAAATACTATCACCCTGCTGAAGGAAATGACATATCTGGGCTTTGCCTCCAAATAACCCAGGGGTGGGGTAAAATCAGACCCATTGCTTTCAAATCAGTTCTGACTCAGTGACCCCATTTGTGTCAGACTAGAACTGTGCTCCATAAGGTTTTCAGCGGCTGATTTTCCAGAAGTAGGTCACCAGGCCTTTCTTCTGAGGCTCCTCTGGGGAAACTCCAACTCCAACCTTCTGGTTAGCAGCCAAGCACGTGAACCGTCTGCACCACCCAGGATCTCGGGTGGGGGATATAAGTGAAACAAGATCAGCATGAGCTAATTTTCGAATCTGGATGATGGGAACACGGGGCTCTTTATTGTTATTCTATTTTTGTATTCTGTCCGTTAAAAAAAGAAATTTCCCTGAGGAGACAAGGGCTTAGCGTTATCATTTTATACATCTTTAGCAACCAGGATCACTCCATTCAGGTGAGTCTGGACGGGCACCCAGGTGTGGGTGCCTAGAGCCAGCCCGCACCCTCTGTCTGCACAGTATGCTGTCCTGAGGGCTGTGCGCCCCAATCCTCAGGCCCCACTCCACACCTCAGCTCCAACCCCTCACTAAGATCCCAGGACGGGGTCCAGGCAGCCTTCCCTCGAGACAGGCACCTAGCCTCCCATGCCCACGTCCTCAGCCAAGCCCTCTCATGCCCGATTTTCCTGACTTGTTTTTGTTCCTTTCTATTCTGCACACCAACCGGAAAGATGATGAACTCTCAGCCACACACACTGCAGTTCTGCAAAACCCGGCAACACTGCAGCACCCTTCAGTCACCAGGCTAATCTGTTACAATTCCGGACTCATGAACGCGACTATGTGAATCTGATGCAAATATGTTACTGGGCCAGTGACTAGAGCTGCTCAAGAACAAAGAACTGTTCTTTTGCTTTTGTTTTTTTAACATTTTATTGTGCTTTAGGTGAAAGTTTACAGAGCGAATTAGTTTCTTATTCAAAAATTTATACAGAAATTGTTTCGTGATATTGGTTGTAATGCCCGCAACGTGCAGCACTCTCCCCCTTTCTGCCCGGGGTTCCCCATGTACACTCATCCAGTTTTCCTGCCCCTTCCTGCCTTCTTATCTTTGCTTCTGGGCAAGTGTTGTCCATTTGGTCTCGTGTACTTGATTGAGCTAAGTAGCAAGTTCCTCACGGGTGTTACTGTTTGCTGTATAGGCTTATCTAATATTTGGCTGAGGGTGGTTTCAGTTTTGAGTTAGGAGAGAGTTTGGGGGGCATAGTCTCGGATTCCATCAGTCTCTGACCAGTCTTTTCTGTAAGTTTGCAAACAGGTTCATCTTAAAAAATAATGTTTAATAAGAATCTTGAGGAAATAACTAACCAGCTCTTTTGAACTAATTAAATATAATTGTCTGGTCTGTTTGAAAGAGTTAATGTACCTGAAGGAGCACAATTATTTTTAGAATCCCAAGGAAGCAGAGAATTGTTTGAAACTTCAGACTGAAGACGAAACCAAGGTTCTGTGAGGTGATGGGCAATGAGATCAAATTAAAAGTTCTCAGAACTTTGAATCTGTGTGACTCTTTAGTCACATAACAATGAATGTATAAAAATTTTTGTATGGGGGAAAAAAAAAGACTCCCGTCCTTACAAATCACACAAAGAACTGCTTTGAACGGCTCTGAAGAAACAGACTTCCAGGGCCCTCTGGCTGCCAACGTCAGGATGAGTGTCAGTCATCAGGGCCAAGCACCACCAGAGCTGGGGGACAGCTGGTGTACAAGCGTCCGAAGGGTCCGGCTGCCTGCCTGGGATACACCTGGTGGGGGTGGGGAGTGCCAGGTGGGGCCAGAGGGCTGTCCTCATGCAGGCAGCACACAGGTCTGGGAGGTCACACATCACAAGGCTGGGGCAGCCCCAGCCCTCACATTACAAGGAACCCACAGGAACCACATCAAGTGTCAAGCATTCCCCCATTTTAGCAGTGTGAGGGTTATGTGTCAACTCGACCAGGCTGTGGTTCCCAGTGGTTTGGCCAAAGACTAGTCTAGCTGCTGTCATGGAATAGTTATTATTGTTAGCTGCAGTAAAGTCAGCCCGATTCACGGTGATCCCATGCACAATGGGATCAGACAACTGTGATCTATAGTATAAGGAGATCAGAAGTAGATCGTCAGGACTTTCCTCCTAGTCTGTCTTAGTCTGAAAGTTCTGCTGAAATTTGTTCAGTATCACAGCAACATGCAAGCCTTGAGGTACACTGGCCGGGAACCAAACCCAGGTCTCCCACATGGAAGACGAGAATTCTACCACTGTACCACCAACGCCTTCCATGAGACAGTTACCAGTTGCAGTCAAGTTGACTCTGACTCATGGTGAACCCCACGTGTGTTAGAGTAGAGCTGTGCTCCATAGGTTTTCAGTGGCTGACTTTTCAGAAGTAGATCACCAAGTCTTTCTGAGGCACCTCGGGATGGACTCAAATCACCAACCTTTTGACTAACAGCTAAGCGCTTGACCATCTGCGCCACCCAGGGACACACCATGGAATAGTTACATGTGATTAAATCAGTTGGCCGTGGGTGAGCATATTACTTTCCCTAATGTAATGACCTCACATCTACTGTAACCTAACGGAATGCAAGCTATCAATCAGCTGAGGTCATACCAATACAGAGTGGATCCTAATCCTAATCACTTCTGAGTTAAATAAAGACCAGAACAGACACAGAGTCACACACACGCTGGGGAAGAAAGATGCCATGTGAGGACCGTCTACACACCGAGAGCCAAGGAATGCCCAGGGCTGCCGACAAACAAGGAACCGACACGGTCCCGGACCCTGATTTAGACTTTCAGCCTCCAGAACTGTGAGGAAACAAATGTCTGTTGTTTAAAGCCACCCACTTACGGTATTTGTGTTACGGCAGCCCTAGGTAACCAAGACAAGGGGCAGTGATGAGGTTGCTGGGGATAGGCATCTGAGCACAGGAAAAGGCCAGGGGTGAAAGGCCAAGTCATTTGTCCAGGACAGAAAACCCCAAACACTTTGAGATAGGCCACCAGGAGACAGTGCCCTGAAATCAAGGGTGAAAGGCTGAGAAGTCTTATTAAGTCCACCTTGTGCTCAAGAGTTCTAGTTCAGACGGGAAACGCCAAAATCAGCAGTAGAAGCAAAACGCGGCCTGACAGCCACTCGTTCTGTCCCTTCTCCTCTATCTGTTCCCCTCCCCCGCAGATACCAATCAAATCCTCTGTGCACAATCATGTTCCTTGCCCTCCTGCACAGGATCAATACCTGCCTCTCCTGGAACCAATCCCGCTGGCAATACACACATGCTGTAAAACCTCCCCTAACCCTGTGACCATCTCCAGTCAGTGCCCCACGCCTCAGCTCTTCTTTACGGCAAGTGTCCTGGAAAGAACTGTCACGAGTCACATCTCCACCTCTTCACCTCACACTGGCTCCTTAGCCGACTCCAGCTGGATTTCCATCACCCCCAGAGCATGGGGCTGCTATAGTCAAGGTCACCAAGAGCCTTCATTCTGTCAAAGCCAACGGCAGCTTTCCATCCTTACCTCCTCCACCCCGATGCATCTGTCCACCTGCGGCGCCCTGTGCACCCGACAGAGCTGACTACTCCTTTCTACTTGAAAAGCTTCCTCTCTAGGCTTCACAACAGCAATCTCCTGGGCTTCCTTCTATCTCAAGTCACTCTCTCTCGGCCTACTTTGGAGTCTCTGTTCCTCCTCAACCCAAGCTCTAGCGTCCCCGGGCTCAATCTTCAGACCTCTCCTCTGCTCAGTCAAGATGCCAAGACCTTCATCTCCAAGACAATCACTAACCCAGGACACAAACACCTCTACGAAGCTGGCTGAGAGATAACTCAAACTTATCTTCTGCCCCAAGACTCCGCCCTCTCACTCTGCAGAATCCTTCCGCATGTGTCCATCAGATCATACCGTACACTGCTGCTGCTATTTCATTAGGGCAGTGTGTGTGTGGGGGGGGGGGTAGGATGGGACAGGCACACATCTGGGCCAGAGCGTCAAGCCCTCCTGGACCCCCAAGGCTGGGTTACTGGCCCTTCTTCCAGCTTTCAATCAATCGCCTTGGCCTTCTCCACCAGCACTTAATGATCTGCTTTATAACTAGCATGTGGCTGGTTCTGGGAGAGCAGGGGCCACACCAACCCGGCTCACCACCTTATGCCAGAGCCTTGTGTGGGGCCTGGGAAAAAGGACGGAGAAACCACGACTTACTGAACAGAAGACAGCCACTCACCCAGAAGATGATGTTGTAGCTGAATAGCAGGTACTTGTACCAGCAGCTGACCTCAGCGTTAGAGTATCTATAATAGTGCATCTTCTGAAAAGCAGGATCTGCAAAGAGACAAGGGAATGATGAGATGCAGGGTCAGTTTTAGAACATTCCCCAGAGCCTGCTCCCTGAGGAAAGAGCCAAGGTGTGGCTCACACACAGACTCCAGAAATCTCTATGTCATTCACTCCCCACATGCCCTTAAGTCCAACAAAGGTTGAGTATCAATACCGGCTATAAGTTAGGCAAAAATCAGGTAAAGCCAACTTCCTAAAAATGACCAAAAGAACAAAAGGGGGATTCTTAAAAGAATGGAGAATGTCTTCTAAGAACCAGGAATTCTACTTGGAATTTCCCAAATATTATCTCACAACCTGTTGAATGTGTACTGACTTCTCCACTTCACAGTTAAAGAAACTGGAGTCCCAAAAGGTCGTGTGCCTTGCCGAAGGGGAAAAAAGGCAAGAAAGAGCCTCGGTACTGAACCAAGTCCTGGATTCCAGTCCACATTCCTTCCACCCACCACCACCTGAAGAGCAGCCAGGAGTTGAGAGAGCCAACTGAAGCAACAGGGGCTCGACCATCCAGAGCCACGTTTAGAAAGAAGAGATTCGGGCATCACCAAAGTCAGAATCAAGGCTCCATACTAGTTCATCTAGGATCTTCTGAGAAAACATCCCAAGCTCAGCCCTGGGCTGCACACACAGAGGGAAGGGCAACCAAGCACTACCAACTAGTGCATTCAATCAGCACCAATATCTTTACCTGAAAACACACACAAGAATTTTAGGTTTCTGAAAGTAGGCAGACGGCAGTAGTGGTTGAATGGTAGAATTCTCATTTTCTATACAGGAGATCCAGGTTCAATTCCCAGAGAGTGCACCTCATGCACAGCCATCACCCATCTGGCAGTGGAGGACCGCATGTTGCTCTGACGCTGAACAGGTTTCAGCAGAGCTTCCAGACTAAGACAGACTAGGAAGAAAAGCCTGGTGATCTACTTCCAAAAATCAGCCTATGGATCACAATGGTCCGATCCGGGCTCACCACCTCAACAGCAGCTAACAGCAACAAGATAGATGGATAAACTTTTCACAAAGTGAATTACCATGCCAGCAGAGAAGAATCTCCAAAAGCTATTCTGTGTGCACAGAAAACAATTATCAGAGAAATTAAACTGAGAGCCCTCAAACTGTCTCAAGTCCGAGAACCTGAACAGAAAATAAAGCATTTGCTTGGCAAATAAGAAGCATATGTTTGTCAAAACATCAGCTTCTCAAAACAAAGGGACAGGGCAGAACTAGTTAATAGTGCTGAGACAGCTGTTAGCAATCTGAGGGGAATTAAATAAGCCAAAATTAACTTTGAATAGTTCAAGGGTGCACACACACGTGCGCAATGCACACACTGAGAGGGTATTTTAGACCAGTGTTAATCTCCTTCACTTCTGAGGCACGAGGAAAAAACCCAAACTAAAAAATTACAATATAAATCAAATTTTAAAATTCCCATTCAATTCAAAGTAGCATCAAAATAAAACAGAAAACACAAATAATAAGTTATCTGCAGCTGCAGCAACTACGACAAGGGTAAATATCTACAACATATAAAGATTCATAATTAATAAAACAAGACTCTGGCTTTACACAAACAGACAATATGTAGAAAAGAACGAACAACATAGATGACATATGGGAAAACATTGAGCTTCACTGGAAGTGAAAATTAAAGACAACCCAGAGGTACTAATTTACTCTTTTTAACAAACTCACTATCACTGCTGCTGGCAGGCCCACGGAACCCTGGTTCGTCCATCTGTTGTGGCTCCTACTGTATGGGGAACAACATGGCTACAGGCATGTAAAACCATAAAAGCGGTCATACCCTTAATCCAAAAAACTCACAACTAAGAATCTGCCTCAAGAAAATAAACCAACAGACAAAAAAAGTATATGCAACCGTTAAGCGCTCTGCTGCCAAATGACAGCTTCGCAGTTCGAACCCACCCTGCAGCTCCACAGGAGAAGGACCTGGTGATCTGCTCCCGTAGAGATCACTGGCTAGAAAACCCTATGGGGCAGCTCTGCTGTGTCACACAGGGTTGCCAGGAGTTGGAAATCGATTCAATGGCATGTAACAACAACAAGCAATGTGAACATCACGGCTTCCAGTTAAGGAACAATTTGTAAGCACGTGGCTAAAGGCCCCAAAGCTACAGAAGAGCACGAAGATTGTTGTGTGGGGTGCCGGGCTTAAAAGTGACTTCCCATCAACAACATTCAAAGGGATGCAAAAACTAATCATTAACTTTATACGGAAAGGGAAGAAGCCCCAATAAGGAAAGCACTGTTGAAGAAGAAGAATACAGTTGGAGGACTCACGCTACCTGACTTCAGAACCTACTATACAGCTACAGTAGTCAAAACAGCCTGGTACTGGTACAACGACAGATACATTGACCAATGGAACAGA